TATATATATATATATATATATATATATATATATATATATATGAGTTCCAGGTATCATAAATCCTTAGCTTGTTCTTCCTAATTTCTGTGAGTAGTAGGCAACTGGGAAACAGCCATAATAACATAAAAAAGCATTTAACTAAAAGTCAGTGGTACTGAAAAGAGGCAAAACTGCATTAGATTTTCAACACTCCCTTTATTATTAATGGAAGTTGAGCACATAAGACCCTTGGCGCACTGTGCGGAAAAACATACCCTCTCTGTTTGCTTGTAAATTACACAAGGGGAAAAAACACAAAAAACAAAAAACTAAAAAACCTTCCACATAGGCCAGTAGGCATCCTGCTTCTTAATTAATGGGCGGGAGTCAGCAGCACATGGAAAATGTAGTCCTTCCATAGATCAGAGATTAACCTATAAGCAAATGCTACATGTCAGCCCAGATTTGGGGCTTTAAAATTTTTTTTTTAATGTTTATTTATTTTTGAGACAGAGAGACACAGAGCATGAACGGGGGAGGGTCAGAGAGAGAGGAAGACACACAATCTGAAACAGGCTCCAGGCCCTGAGCTGTCAGCCCAGAGCCCAACGCGGGCTCAAAGTCACCGACCACGAGATCATGACCTGAGCCGAAGTCGGATGCTTAACCAACTGAGCCACCCAGGCGCCCCCAGATTTGGGGCTTTAAATTTAGTCTTGCCCAGAATATTTCTTGGGGAAGAATGACAAGAGGTTTCCTAACCAGGAACCCCATTAAGTGGTGCTGTTTCTGAATGTGAAATATAAGGAAGCAGGTCTTCAGCTGTCTGTGCTTCCCCTTTGTTTATTTGTTTGTTTATTTATTTATTTATTTATGTATTTTGTGTTTTTAATAAACTTCACCAGCCAGCTCTGTGTTTATGTGGTATGCCACCAAAAACAATAGGCCCACATATGTCACCCAATTGTTGTATTTAGTGTAAGCTGTAGTCTGTAGAACGGTGCCCAGGAGCTTTTGCCTTTGCCCAGCAGCCAGTCCCCATTCAAGGTCATCCTGTTTATCCTGAGTATTTCTGCCTTTCTCGAGTGACTGCTTTCCCAACCCAGTTACCAGTACCCCAGAAACCTCCACACCATTTTGCTCCCAAACATTGCCTTTGCCAACAAGTCCAAGGATACAGCCGTGTTACTTGCGAGGGTCCGCTGGAGCTTTGGGGGCTGCTAACTTCTATCCTCCGGCAGGTGACTTAGCTTCCCAGAGAGCATTACCAGTTCACGGCGTGCAGGGCGCAGTGGTATACAAGAAGCCTCTCTTAAAAGGTTTGCAATGCCACATGGGTTCCAGAGACATAAGAGAAAGATCTGTGATGGGAATGAGACTGTACCAATGCGTCTGGAAAGCAACCACCCCAGAGAGGACTCCCTCGTGCAGCTTTGTTAGCTGCACATGGGCCCAGATCAGTTGAGCCCTGCCATATTTCTGATTTCTCTCTCAGTCCATAGGATGAATGTTAATGAGCTAAGCACTGCTTGTAAAAGGCCAAGGAGCTGTTGTTTAGGTGGTATGATTGTCTGAGAAAGTAAAGTTATGGAAATTGTTTTGACCTTTCAGCCAAGTGATGTCTTGCCCTCTCACATTTATTACTCTTGGGTACATTTCCAAAAATATACATTTACAAAGCCACAGAATTAAATGAGAAAACTGATTTAGGGATTAATAGCTTGTTAGTTCAGCACAGAAAAAAAACAAAAAAAAACAAACAAACAAAAAAAAACAGCCTCCCGATTCCATTCAGGTTTTGTTGGTAAATATATCTGTGTAATATATCTAAGCTAATCCCAACCCCTTTTGGTTCCCTCCCTGTGCTCCACAGCTCCTGTCATTCATGGCTCCTACCCATACCCCTACAAGGTCCAAACACAGTTTTTCAGTAGCTAATCGATATAAGAATACTTGTGTCACTTACTGGAGTCCTTGACTGCCTTAGGATGCTGTACTTGGTTTTAATTTTGGATGGCCATTGGGAAATGTAGTTTTGAACTAGCAATCCCAACATTCGCAGGGCTGTCTCTCGTTACGTCATCCCTAGGACCCTGGTCTAGCTACTGCATCCTCTGGGTACCAGTGTTCTCATCCCTAAAACTGGCTTATTCCACCACCAATGATGGTTCCCACCATAGTAGGCTCTCAGCACCTGTCAGTTTCCTTCCTTCTCACATGTATACATTGAGACATCAAAGAGTTTCACTGGGACCACCAGAACCTCCCAGTTCTTCATTCTTAAGGGCATTGGAGTGGAATTCAGAAGTTTTGCCTTTCCCATTTGAAATCAAAAGCATAGAAGAGGCAAACTTATTAATATGCATTGTCACAACATATTGTCACATAGTAATATGTGATATATGATAAAATGTATCAATTCTGAGCACCACAAATATCTGTGGCTTCACCTCAGCATGAAGGCAAATGAGTTTCCTTTAGCTTGAGTGAGTTTGGAGATAAACTTCAATGTAACAAAATGTATTTCACAGGAAACGTTTGATGTGGCGCGGTTGGCTTATGAATCTCTTATCTACTCACGGTTCACTCCTTAGAGTTATTAGTCAATTTAATTTGAGCAAATGCCAGGATTACTAACTAATTAGGAGGATGTTCGTGAAGGCATGAGGATGGGGAGAGAGCGAGTGCTGGTGGTGTGGGGTTTGTGGCGGCTTGCAAGTCTGATTTTTTGCCTGATACCATTTACTAAACATTATACTTTGTGTTGTTGTCACACAGATAAGCCTCAAGTGCATATTCAGATGACTTATCCTCTACAAGGCCTAACCCGGGAAGGGGATGCGCTCGAGTTAACATGTGAAGCCATCGGGAAGCCCCAGTAAGTTCTGAAGGCCAAGGTTGGCAAGAGGGTCATGAGCAGTAAATGTCACAACACGGAGATGTGCATTTGCAACTCACCAGCCTGTCACCTGTCTCCTGCTGTAAAGGATGGAAGGTTTTTTTGTTTTGTTTTGTTTTGTTTTGTTTTATGAAATAAGGAATATTCAGTGAAAGGGGGAATAAATATCTGTGGTTGGTTCTTAATGGTCAGGATTGGGAGAAAAATGAAATGCCAGCTAAGATTGAAATCTCAGCTAATTCTATTTTATTATCATCAACACGATTGCCAGAACTATCTTCTCTCACAAGAAAATAATCCTAATAAATTTTTAGTATGCCCACAATCTAATGATATATCTGTTACCTTCTGTGTTAATGTCTAAGCTGCTGGAAAGACGGTTTTCAGACTTAAATTAAGCCACTGTGATTAGGGCCAGCCGTTGGAAAATGAATTTGCCCTACCTTTAATTTTGCTTCTCCTTCTCTCAAATAAAAGTGACTCATGGGAATATTTTTGTTGGTAAGGAATTGTCCCAGAACTTTTCTCCAGGAACATATTACACACCATTGCGTAAAAGAAAGAATGTACTAACCCTCTTATTTGACTGAAATGTACAAGGAAGTTGCTTCCCTGCCAACTGCATGCAAGTGAATGAGAGGGACCACAGTAGCTCATCACAGCCATGCAGTGGGGCCACTTTAGACCTCGTTCAGTTTCATCCGGGGAGAGGAGAGACTCTCATCTTTCCAGGAGAGTGAAGATTGTTTTGAGCTGTTTCTTAGGGGAAAAAAACAATCCATGGAATCATGAGCTGGAACGAGTCAATGTTGGGATTAGGAGCCCTCAAACTCTGAGTGGTCCCCAACAGTAAACTCTGTTTTGAGCTCCCTCTGCCGTCCCTGTGCTAGGATTCTTTTCCCCCTCAGAGTTTTGCTAACCAACATCAAGATCGCAGTCCTCATGCTCTGAGCGTCTCACCAAAGCTTCCCCCAGGATCTCTGGAAAGCACTGTCCCCGTGATGGCTAAGGAGTGATCCATGACAAGAGAACAGGGGAACCAGGGGGATGCTGGCTGCTGTCCGCCCTCTTCCCGCTTCAGCCCTCCCTGTTTTGTGCTTCCCTCTCTGTGGACCAGAATCTGCGTCTGTCTCCACTAACCCTTCGGGGTTTTATAATTTTTTTTTTTTTTCTCAGCGTTTATTTATTTTTGGGACAGAGAGAGAGCATGAACAGGGGAGGAGCAGAGAGAGAGGGAGACACAGAATCGGAAACAGGCTCCAGGCTCTGAGCCATCAGCCCAGAGCCCGACGCGGGGCTCGAACTCACGGACCGCGAGATCGTGACCTGGCTGAAGTCGGACGCTTAACCGACTGCGCCACCCAGGCGCCCCCCCTTCGGGGTTTTAAAGATGACCTTTAGGAAATAGGAGGTGGTCCTGCCTCTGTTTCGCTTTTCCTCTGCTGTTTCCAAGTTACTTGCTCTGAAACACTTTAAGCTTTGGCAGAGTGGTCTTCGTCTCCTTTGAACTCTGCAGAAGATTCAGATTTTTCTTTTTGTAAACTGGATTATGCCTTAGTCCGTGGCCTGTCTTACCTCCAAAACAATCCGGTGGAGAAAAAGAGAATTCTCACAGGCCTCTTGCCACTGTATACAGCCACATTAACCACATTTACCGGAGATGGCTTTGCTAGCCTATGTTTTGTTTCTGTATTTTCCCCCCAGAAGAAGGTACTGCGTTCAATTGAATGTGCCATGGGGACAGTAAATTACATGTTTCCTTCAGGACATTTATGCCAGAGAGGGTGTTTGTCTGTTCCTCTTCTCAAATCGGAATGAGTGTGTGGTCGTATGAGCCAGCACCCATTACTCTGCTATCCCTTCCAGCATATTACCTATTTATTTTCCCAAGAAATTGCATACAATAAAAATGGTAATTTAACTTGCCATTAAATGTTGTGAATATTCTCAGCACTTACCCCCACTGATTGTTTCAGCTGTCAAGCAGCAGGGCATTAGATCTGATGGCCGGGCAGACCCATTTTCCATTGCCTGCAAGGGGGGGGACATATGCAATGCTAATTTTTAAATAATTTACTGGGCTGTGATGACAAGCCCATGTGTAATTAAAGAAAAATTGTAACTTCACATCCCATTTGAAAATTGGAATGCTACCTGACAGGGCTAACTTGAGTGTTGGTTCATCATTAAGCTTGGGTCTTGTCATGTCACCGCTCGTGGAGGTAGCAGCAGGGACCAAAAGGAAGGTACTTCTGTTCTCGTGTCTCCAGTGCCCTTCCTTTAAAATGAAAGTTTCAGGGGCGCCTGGGTGGCTTCGTCGGTTAAGCGTCTGACTTCGGCTGAGGTCATGATCTCGCGGTCTGTGAGTTCAAGCCCCGCGTCAGGCTCTGTGCTGACAGCTCAGAGCCTGGAGCCTGCTTCTGATACTGTATCTCCCTCTTTCTCTGCCCCTCCCCTGCTCGCGCTCTCTCTCAAAAATAAACATTATTATTTTTTTAATTTAAAGAAAAACAAAATGAAAGTTTCAGGCACAGTCCTCCCTGTGGTCCCAATTTCACAGGAGGTTGAGGGAGCTGTCTTGAAGAATGGGAGTTTTAGAGTCAGTGAGTTTGAAAGATACTCTGCATGTGCAGTTTTGGCTCTGGAGCATCTTGTGAAATGTGCTTTTCCCTGATGGACACAAATGTGATACTTTATTTACTTATTTTTTAATGTTTATTTATTTTTTTGAGAGAGAGAGTGTGTGGGGAAGGTGCAGAGAAAGAAAGACAGAGGATCCAAAGCAGGCAACACACTGAGAGCACAGAGCCCAATGCAGGGGCTCGAACTCATGAACCATGAGATCATGACCTGACGTGAGTCGGATGCTTAACCGACTGAGCCACCCATGCCCCCCAAACATGGTACAACATGCCTCTGAAAAAGTGCCATAAGGAGCCCATGTGGAGATGTGCCCCTCAGTGACTGACCCGGAAGCCTCACCCTTGAGCCACGGGGCCTGCCAGTGCACCCAGAGGGGGAGGGTAACAGTGTGTGGGGCTTGGAGAGCCAGCAAAGCAAGGCATTTTGCCAAGGAACACACAGAAAAGGTGGACTGGGTTGAAGGAGGCAGGTTATGAGCAAGGGTAATGGAGAAAGGAAGTGATTGCATCTTCTAGAATGAATAGAGGTGGCTTTTCCAATGCAGAGGACAAAAGAAAGCAGTGTTCAGATGTAAAAAAAAAAAAAAAAAAAAATCCATTTATTTTTGCAAAACTCCAAATCCATTTTTTTTAATTTTTTTATTTTTTTCAGTATATGAAGTTTATTGTCAAATTGGTTTCCGTACAACACCCAGTGCTCGTCCCAAAAGGTGCCCTCCTCAATGCCCATCACCCACCCTCCCCTCCCTCCCACCCCCCATCAACCCTCAGTTTGTTCTCAGTTTTTAAGAGTCTCTTATGCTTCCAAATCCATTTAAAGATCACAACTGGCTTCTAAGAAAGGGTCTTGGTATTTAGTAACCGTCAGATTAATAGTTATATCACTAGCCAAGAATTTGATTTTTCCCCCTAATTAATGAGATGATTAACAACGGGTGAGCTCTGTCCTGTCTGAATTGGTGTGAAACCACACAGCAGGACATAAAAATAGGGCACATTGGTTTATTTGCTGATTTTTAAAGATGAACCGGAAATAATGAGGCTCCAGCTTGTGGTCCTATTGAAGGTTTTTTCAACACCTGATAATGTTGACCAAAAAGTATATTCCAAACAGATTTTGTTGGGGGGGAGGACTTCACAGCTGTAATTCTGTGAACTGAAAATATGTCCAGCAGGGCCCTCTCTAATCGTGTCACCCTGCATGTGACTCATTCAATGTGTGGGTGAGAAGCCGACGCAGACATCTTGGTGGGAGATGTTAAAGCCACCTGTCTTCTTCCTCTCTCCTCTGCAGGCCTGTGATGGTGACCTGGGTTAGAGTCGATGATGAAATGCCTCAACACGCCGTCCTGTCCGGGCCCAACCTGTTCATCAATAACCTAAACAAAACAGATAATGGTACATACCGCTGTGAAGCTTCCAACATAGTGGGGAAAGCTCACTCGGATTATATGCTGTATGTTTACGGTACGTGCAAAGATAAAACACTCCTTCTACGAGACTCATTCACATGTAGCCGCTGCTTGCAAATCACTCTCAGAGCTTTTGGTCAAGTTGAAAACCGAAAGCCAGTGTGTTTTCTTCAAGAACTTAAAGAAGCCTGGCCTGAGGTGGACCCCAGTGTCTCCACCTGGGAGGGCAGTGACTTTCTTCTCTCCCTCTAATCGCGGGGCTTTCCTGCTAGATCACAGTCCCTGGTCATGCTGAGTAGGAAAGCTGTGTCCTCAGGCACAAGCAATGGAGATGATGTTAGAAATAATGACTGCAAAATTCAGCCTTGCCAATTAATGGCTATTTAGCTCAGAAAGTTTATTCCCAGTGGTATTTCCCTGTGAAACCTCAGCTAGGCTTTCTCCTGCTTTGATGAACACAAGTATCCTGTCTTCAGCATGAAGCTATTACATTCCAGAAGATGTCACAAGCCAGTAAATACTTGGGAAAAAAAATATATATATATAAGGTCCTTGGTAGCTACATAAACCACCAATAGCTACTCCTTTAGACACGAATGCATTTTTTTTTATTTGTCTGTTTTCTGAATATCTTTTTACAGGATTATTAAAGCATATTATCATGAATTACGTTCTCTAACCCAGCAAATATTCATTGAACATCTATGTGTCAGGCATTTTAAACTTTTTCACATTTATAGCTTACTGTCCATTTTGTGTACGTTGAATATTCTCAACTTAGTTGAGGAATGCACTTCATTCCTCTAGTCTTAAGATGGCAAATTGAGTTTCTTCTGACCAGTTGAAGTCTCTTGGTTGGTTTTATGCCAGGAAGCCTAGTCATGAACTGACATGACCCAGAATGAGTGACCATAGGCATGAAATTTTCAGTATCTTACAAATCTATGGATATGTGTGTATGTTTCCTTCTCCATGTTAGCACGGTAGATAATCCAAGTGTAAGTATATGGGAATCTACACCTATACGCACACAACTATACCCACAGGATATTTATACCTTTATGTCCTAGAACCTGGCCACCTTCCTTACGAAGAAAGTAGGAGTCACTCCTTTTGAAGGCATAGAAGCATGCTTTATAACACATCAACACGGATGTGGCAACTTAATCCTTAACCTGTACTTCAGGTTTTGTTTGTTTGTTTGTTTGTTTTTCTCTTTCAACATAATGCAGAATTACAGGATCACATCCACTCACCTTATTTGTAGACTTCTGAGATTTCTTTTCTTTTGGGCACTATACCCGTGTTGTCTGTGGTCCGCACGTGTAATGGCGTCAGTCCTGCCATCCAACCCCTTAATCCAGGGGTTAAGAGAGCCGAGGAGAGGGGATGGCTGTTCCTTTAGGTGCGAGGGGGTGCCACATGCCCTATTCTCAGTTGACGTTCCACGGAGCCACCTTGGTCCTCAGACTGTTCAGAGTCTGTTCATGCAAAAGGGGAGTGGGAGGCATATCCCTCTCTTCTGCTTCCACACCCCTTCTGCTCTCTCTGCGTGAGGGTTTGAGCCTCCTGCAAGTCCCCTCCGATGCCACTCCCAGGTTTACAGTGAGCAAAACCAGTGGCAAATTTCCCACTGGTCTATGGTTTGCTTCCTGGACTCAGAAGTCTAAGTTATTTGGAAAAGCAATTCTGATTTAATGTACCTGCTGTTCCCACATCTCAAGATAAGGAACATTTTGTGGATTTCATGGACCGCAGATATAGTTGAATAATTTTGGATACCAGCTTCTGGCTGGCATTTGTCGAGCACCCACTTTGTCCCACTGTTTCACGTGCATGACCACCTCTAATCTCCACAGTAACGTCAGGAGGTAACAAGATCCTCATCCTATTTTACAGATGGCAGATGAAGCTTAGAAAGATCACATAAGCTGCCCAAGTTCCCAGGGTTGCTAACTATGTTTCAGAGCCACGATACTTCGACTGCCAAGTCTTCAGGGACATTTGTGTCTTTCTTTGTAGTTCCTCTTATTCTCACTGCTTCCCAGTAGAATGCCCCCCTCCAACATAAGACTGTTTTTGAGAATTTACTCTCTGGGCTAGAGTGCATTACTGAAAGCCAGAAAACATAGCGACCTACCTGTTTAGGTGAGCACACACACACACACACACACACACACACACACACACACACCCCTCCCCGGCACGTTATGCTACCTGCGTCCCTCAGTCTAAGCTAGTAGCACTGCTCGGCATGGCGGGCTAGACTACCAACCTGAGGTGTTGCTAGTCTATTAATAAAATGTTGTAGCAATTTGGGAAGATTGCGAGTAGCTCTTCTTTTCAAAGGTGATTTCTCGTACTACCAGGGTAATTTTCAAAGTACCTTATGAACTAAGCATTAACGTGCCTTTAAAATGTTTAATTCTCTGGAAGTAGCTTCTACACTTGGAGAATCTAGCTGGTTAGTGCCTGAGTCCCATTTGGTTTGGTTCTTTTAGCCTCGATGTGTCAAACACAGCTCATTAGCTCCAACTCGGTATTTTCTTAAATAGTGGCCTCTCGTTGCTCTTATTGCTAGAAACGATCTGAGCAATGAGGTTCTCGCTGTTAACAGGTCACTTGAGCCAGATGTGAAGGACAACAGTTACCCCAGTAGTGATGAAAATAATTGGAAGTGTGTGATTTTCACAAAATGAAAGGGACCCGTGACCTTTTTTCTGAAGTCTCTGCCCTTGTTAGTCTGGCCCACCCCTCGTTCGTAATCGTATTTTCAAAATCATATTTCAAAACCGGGCCTCCGGGTCCCCTTTGATTGCATTGTGGATATCACACGTTCTGTGCCAATACTTGGAAAGGTAGGTACAGAAATAGCATTAGAGTGTATCAGGGGAAGTCTCTCGGGTACAGATGTTCCTTTTCAGGTGATAAGTACTGTAATTGAACCAGAACAGAAGAAGCACATTAGCTGCCCCCATGCTGGGCAGCAGGCACGTCCCTGGGTACAGTTGAGGTGGGTAGGAGAAGACACAGGATGTCTTCAGAGCTCGGCTCTGGGGCCAGCGCACCTCGCTCATCTGTATCTGTCCCAGTGCCAACAGCAAGGGGTGGGTGCGTCCAAATGATCTGCTAGGTCACAGAATGCTTCCTTACCTGGGGCCTCCATAAGAAAGTGTCCAAGGAGCAAGACGACATTCTGCCTGTTTGTCTACAAGGGTAGTCTGAAACCACTAATTTAATCATCAGCCTGCTTCTTGGAGGAGGATGAGATTTGGTATTATTTATTTTTTAATGAATTCCTTTTTGGACTCGTGGGTGAGGCTGCTTTTACACTGCCCGTGTCCCCACCTTCAATGAGCAAAGTCTCCCATAGAACAGAACACTTTGCTGCTGAGCCCTCCCTAACACATTCATACGTTGCGTGTGCGTGAGAGAGGTTGACGAGGAAAATTAAAACCCCAGATTATTGATCAGTAGTAGGAATCATTTTAAGCAGACCTTACAACCAGGCACCAAGATAGTGTTTTCACAAACTTTCAGGAAGTTGTAGCAAAGCCAATAAAGGTGCAGTATATAATTAAAGTTTTGATGTATTAATTAGACAATCTGAGAGCTCACTTGGAGATAAAAGGACACCAGATGTGTCAGGGAGAAAAAGTTGACGTGCTTTAGATAAAATTTAAAATCAAAAGCCTTCAAATCGTCTTATGCGCTATTATAGCAGAATGATTGCTTAGTTCAAAGTCTTGCTGACAATTTAACACATTCAGTTTGATCATTTGTGCTTAGGATTTTCTTTTTTCTCTTTCATATTTGCCCTTCCCCTGTCCCCCAAATAATTTTTGAGCTGATACAAGAATATACAGTGTAGCAAACATCTGACGGAGGATTCCCTGTGGGATTCCTGGCTTTGAGGGTCAAGCCTCGTTTATACCTCGTTCCCTTGTTTACAAGATGGAAGACGGTCTTCTGGTTTTATCGCCACCTTCCGCTTTAGGTCAGGCTTTCAACGGGAGCAAAGGCAACTAACGTATTAATATTTATAAGTTGTAAAATTTATTGACTTTTAAAAAATAAAATCTCGGTAAAACCTCACATGCCTGGAACTTGATATTTAGCGGTGACATTCTGTCTTCTTTGTATTTATTACAAGTGTGTAGAAGTAGTTTTCCTTCCTGCTGGGATGTATTGATGGGGAATAATGAAGTTAGCCGTCATGGAGAGCAGGGGAGCGGGAACGCGCTCATCCTTGGCCGACGGGAGCCCTTTAGAACGGCACCACCCCTCCTCCTTTCTCCCATCTGCGAAAGTATAACACGAAATGACAGTCGCTGTACCCTCTCGGGGGCGGGGCTGGCTTAACCTCACCTTTGAAATCAGACTGGGGTGGGGGTGTCCTGGTTTGATTTCTCCTCCCTTCTCTCCTTCACATCTCCTCATCCCTAGTTCGCTTCATTAATGCAAATCTCTTTTCTTCTTGTCTCAGTTTTTCCATTTAAGGTTTTGGGTTAGGATCACAGGACACAACTCTTTGGGGGAAGGCGGGGAAGGGAGGCTTGTGGCTGCAGAGGGGGAAGTCATCAGACAAACATCTCCGTGTCCTCATGCCTTCGTTTTGTCATTACTGATCATTGTTGTGTTCAGCACTGTGGGTTTGATTTTCCTTTTTTTTTTTTATCCAGATCCCCCCACAACTATCCCTCCCACCACCACCACCACCACCACCACCACCACCACCACCACCATCCTTACCATCATCACAGGTACGGTACCTTCATTACCACTGAAAATGTCCTGAATGTATATTGTCTTTCTGGTATGTATGCAAAGAAGGCTAACAGTTCCCTTTGAATCCTTGGAATTTAACCGTTCCTTTATTTGGGGACTTCAGAGGCGTTAGATACTTTATTCTTACGTTGACTCCTAAGGACCTCAGAAAATCTTCAACATCCAGGCCTTTAACAGTAGATGAGATATTTTGCAGCTCGTGCCTAAGAGGATTCTCTTTTCCAGCATCCCCGGTCAAAGCAAAACGCTAGGGAACATAGCAGCCTGGCTATTAGAGAACATGCCGGTAGCTTAGGCGTAGCCACGGTTGATGAAATGGTAAGTATTCTGGCTTTGGATCTTCTCCTTGTCTTCATTCCATCGCTCGTTCGTACGAAAGAAAATACACACCCTTTAACATGCCCCTGCGGGCTGTGTTCCTAAAGGCATCGCCCTCCTTCCTGCCCCAGAGAGTATCTGCTGACAGTGTTACTACCTGTTTGTGTTGCCTGGGTCAAGAGGTCAGAGGGGAGTCACTGACTTCTCCGTGCCGGGCACCCACGTACCCCTTGCTGCCCTCCGTTAACTGTTGGAGGGGCGGAAGAGGCGGCCACAGCTGCTGTAACTCTGTGGCTTTATCTTGGTGGATTGTCTGAAACTCTCCAAAATGAGTTTCACTGTCTCCTGTGTCTGCCGACCACCAAGGGAGAGGGTATGCGATGCATCCCTTTCTGATACCCAGCGGCTCTCCTCCTGCTTGAGGGGGCTCGTCTGGGAGCCTTGATGCTTCTCCCACCTGCTACGCTGGGAAAGGTCATGGCTGCATCACGTCTATTAGATGTGTAGGATTTCCTTAGGTAAGGACTCCCCGAACCACTGTTTACAGGTACCTCCTCCAGAACACGTAAAAGTAGTTATTCTGCGAGGAAAAAAATAATAATAATAACCTCTTTAGAAGACCGCTTTCCCGCTTCATTCCATTATCCGCAGACACTGCCAGGTCTCTGAGCCACATGCCCCAGGATACAGTCGTATCACAGGACTTCTTCTAAACCACTGAATGTTGAAGTCATCGTTCTCCATGTGTAGGCCCTCTTTGCCACCCGAGATCGGGCAGCCATCCTTGACACTGACTTTCTGGAGATGTGTTTGGTTTTCGTGGGAGTCGGTGAGACAGGCGTGACAAAAATCCAGAGTGTTCCGTGGAAGAGGAGGTTCATGAAGTAGGACGATAGATCACCTGATCTCATTTTCTTCACTTTCTCTAACCTTCACAGTGGGACAAAGAGAACCTTTTAAAAAAAAGCCACTAGCGAGGGTTTTTCTGAAGGTTAATTATGAAAACATCAGTGCCTGCACTTCACTTAAAATCTTCTGAAAATCCATCAATTGGTTTTTGTGTCTCACTCTAAACTCCGCTCCACCCAGGCTGCTTCCTAAATTCCCTTCAGTGTCAATTTGTTTCCCTTCTTCCACGTCCTTCTTTCTGCCGCTTGGTCCCATGGCGCATAGACTCCTCCCACTTTCTGTCTCATTCCTAAACACAGCAAAGCTGCTCCCGCCTAACTGGTTCCAGGTCAGCCAGGCTATCACCTTCCCAGGAGCTAGGTTTTTACCTTTCGTGATCTCTTGCCCCTTATCCAGGTTGTAAACTGAATTGGGCCGGAGCTCTTAACGGCAGGTTTCCTTGAAATTTCCCGTGAACGACCCTTTGGATGTCCGTGTGAATTACACCTCCTTTGCAACTAGTCTGTTCATCTTTGCAGAAGGGGCCCAGGGATCAGTCAGCCCTTATTACCTCTCGTTGTTGTAGAAGGTTCCGTCTAGGTGGCTAGCCAGGTCTGTATTGCAAGGCAGTGGAGGTCTTACTCACTCTGTAGAAATACCCCATTTCTCCATTACATGGAACAATGCTTTTCATTTGTGGCTAGCCTCTCGCTAGCTTAGGCTGGTTTGGGTTTTTGGTTTGTTTTTGTTTTGTTTTTTAAGACCTTTCTTAGCACCCCTGAACTACTCCCCCCCCCCCCACTCACAGCTTTAATTTTTCACCCCAGAGTAAAGCTAATCTTGTGTCCTTCAACAGCTGCAACTCTCTGTGATCACTGTTCCAACCACAGAGACTCTGGTTAAGAGGAAATTTTAAAAACGAACAACGCTGCATTTCTGTCCATATAGAAATTGCCTTTACATACGGGCTTGTCTTTGCTTCTGTCTCTCTCTGCTCCCGGCCTCGGGTCTCCCCGTGATGCATGATGATCTCGTAGATGTGCCTTAGCCTTTCAACGTTAGCGCTTGAACCCTCTCTGCACACAAAAGGCATCTGTGGTAATGAGCACCCAGATTCTTGCTGGCATAGCCAAGAATAAAGTAAAATTGCCACTCATACAGCATTGTAGAATCCGTTGCCTTAACGGATGTGATCGTATGGGCTTCCTGCATCTTAACAAGCAGTGTTACATATATTTATCTTGCCCAGAAAGTACACTTGTGGAATTTAACATTTGCTCCTTACTTCAAACAGACTAAAGGTTATGGAGCTGAATGATTGTGTGTCCCATTTTAAAGGTCCAGGCTATCCCTGAGATTAAGATTGGTTCCTAAAAAATCTTCCAGACTGGATCTTGACAAATGGATAGCTAAATTAATTTGCACTCTTCTCTCTTGCACTGTTTGCTGCATTACAGCCCCCATTAGCCTTAAAAGCTGCAACAGCTAAATCCAGTGACAGGAACGTACATAAAGCCTGAGCTTGAAAGAAAGAAAGAGAGAGAGAGAGAGAGAGAGAGAGAGAGAGAAAGAGAGAGAGAGAGAGAGAGAAAGAAAGAAAGAAAGAAAGAAAGAAAGAAAGAAAGAAAGAGAAAGAGGCAGCCCATAGCCATCCATTTCTTTCCTCCCACTCAGATGCAATAACTGAAACCCATTGCCCAGGTCAGAGTTTCATTACAAGAAAATGTACGAATGCAATAGAAGAATATTTTTAAACTCGAAGGGCATAGTTGATTTCTGATTTCTCTGAAAGGAAGTGTTCCTGTGTTACTTTGTACCTTTCATAAGCAGGATATCGAATTGCTCCCCTTGTCAGGGAGGCAGACTGCCACTGAGTCCCCCAGTCGCCCGACTCCCTCAAAAGCACATTAAAGCTTCATCCTGGGGACCCTTGAAAGCAAGAAATTGTGAGCCCAATCCGATGTGCTGGTGCCACCTAGAGTCCTAGACCCGGCGGGGTGGTGGAGGGGGAAGAGCTGGGCGTCTCTGTCCCGTGCATTCTGCGTGGAGTTGGTCTCCTGACCTTTGTGTGAAGGCTCACATCTAGCGGTAGCTTTCTCTCGGGAGGACTTTTTGAAGGCTCTAGAGTCCTGAAAGGAATATTTGATGTCAACTTGCCACATTGACCTTGTTGCAGCCTTACAACTATTAGGCCTTTAGTATCATTAGAATCCCTTTCTAAATAAAAAACCATTAGAGGGACCCAACTGAAATGGGAGCCATCCAGAGTCTCATTGTGGTTTGCCCTGAGTTTCTTCTCTGTCTCTTCCATCCCATGCACATTGACATTCCGACCATATAGTTCTGTTTCAACTATTGCTATTGGTAAGCCCCCACTTCCTTTTTTTTTCGTTTCCTTTTTTTTTTTTAATATCATGCCAAGTTGTCCACGTAGTTTAATTCATGAAGATATATGCTGTAATATTGAAGAGCAAACTGCATAATCTAAATTGTCCCTGGAGTCCTCTGTTAAAATACAGAGACAGCCAGACCATTACCCAGGGTCAGAGTCCTTCATGCAGATTTCCCTCCTAAATTAAAATCAAAGAAAAACCTACCACCCTCCTGGGGGGCTGAGGGGGGGGTGGTTTGTTTTATTTTATTTTGTTTTGAATTTTCTTTGAAGTTAGTTGACTTTGCGTATGAGATGTACGTAGAATTACCTATTCCTGGGGTGACAGATTTTGCTCCTGTCCAACAGTTGGATCCAACTTTTCCCTATAGTCAACTTAGGAAAATATTTTGTGTTTCCCTCCCAAGATAATGTGGATGTTGTACTGTCTCTGCCCAGTTGCATCCGGAGTTAGTTGCTTAACGAGGAATGTACCTTAGACCGCACTCAGCACTGTTTTAAACACCCTTAGCAGCTTAAGTAGGAAATTCAGGCCCAGGGGGAGTTCAACATGCAGGTCATACTACACATGTGACTGTCATAAATTAAAACACTAAAATCACTTTAGAATAAGAGATGAATAGCTATAGGGCCAAATCCTGAAACACATTTAGAAATCCTTTCACAGGCATGAAATAGGTCATCTCTAAATGAGTATTTCTCTTTTTAAAAGTATGTATCCAATGAAGTGTTTTGTGTTTCTTGGGAAAGAAAACAGCAAGGTTTTTCTTACGGGTGTCTAAGCACTCAAAACCCAGTATACCTTGGAGAAAGTGGGTCCCAACCCCAGGCTCACGTTATTTTGGCTTTCATAGTCTAATGTCGTCAGCCATTGTGTGCGTAAAGTGTATCCAGTCACAATAAGGAGAGTGCAGCCATAGTTCACAGAGTATGCCAAGCGAGGGGAGTCCGACACCATAGCACATGTTTTCCACGTCTTACATACAAAGAAAAGAAGTACACCTGTGCTTAAGACAGAATTACGGTCGAGAGCCTTGCTTCATGTAACGCTGCTGTTCTCCAGGGTCTTGGTTTAATGATTGCTACCCTGTGCTAGGGGTATGTGGGTTATATATATCACTCTGTGATATTTGCGTGGTGCGAGGGGTATATGCTTAGCTGCTTTTAGGCATTCATTCACCAAATACCAAGCCCCCGTAATGTGGACAGCTTCGTGCTAGTGCCTGTGGAGACAGAAAATTCCTTGAACCCCTTAAAACATGGCACTGGGAGTAGGTTGTACACACTAGAAGTCAATTACAGGAGGTACTGTGCAGTAAGGGCTGACTCGGTGGCATGGGCAGAGGAGCAGGGAGGGCGTCACAGGACAATTAGTTC